TTTCCCTATATTAGAGTAACAATTCATGTTTCACTTCAGTCTCTTGGCATTTTAAATAAACTAAAGATATTTAAATCTATCCTTTATACTGAAATCTACACTGAAGTATAGTGCTTCAAATCCAATTCTTATCTTCTTAAGGTTATTGTCCACCTTTGGAGAATCAACCTTGAATTTTTTCTGACCGGCATTAAATATACAATTTTTCAACTTATACCAAAGAATATAGTATCTTACATGCAAATTAATTTTACAATGCAGTCATTCGTAGGTATCCCCAGGGGATTGGTTCCAGGACCCTACAGATACCAAAATCCCCCATGCTCAATTCCCTTACATAAAATGTATACTACAGGCAGCCCTCCAAGGATGCAGAACCCACAGATATAGAGAGACAACTGTACTGGCATTTTGTCTCTTCTTCATCCTTAAAATAAAAAGTCAAATTTATGGCATCTGAGTATTTTTTTAACAAAATCTTAATAAGAGCAGATATTCAACCATAAGTGAACAGCTTTCTAGTTCAAGAAATTCCTTGAAAATACATACAACTACTCAAATGACAAGTCTGAGTAAATACTACCCAAGAACCTCCTTCTCCAGAAGCTAAATAAAAATAAACTACAGTACCACTTTTCCCAACAATGCAGGCCATTAATTGAAGGGAAATCCCCAAACCTAGGACAAAATGATGTACTTGAACTTTTTTGAGTAAACCTAAGGTTAAAAGCATATATAAAAACTATTTCTGAACACTGAAACAAGAATACTAGACTTTCATAATATAAGCTAAGACTATAAATGCTTAGAAGAAGGCAGTACATTGCACTAGAAAGGAAAAAATTCATAACTGGGTTCTAGTCTAGCTAGAACTATGGAATTATGTGTGATTTAGAGCAGGACCTTATGGGAAAAATATTACCTTGCAGGATCATAAGAGCCTAAAGAAAGTGTTAAGCTTCATAAACTGTAAAGCACTATATAATCCTATAGTATCCTTATGATAACTAAGATTATGAAGACAAATTTGAAAAATATCCAATTGCGCCTAGCATAATGATCAATAAATACTTACTGAATGAATAAAAGTATTCTATTTTAAAATTATTGCAAAGGGAATGATAGGAAAAATGAATGAAACCGACCTTGAGATTTTACCGTCTTTAATGAAAAACTCTACACCAATTTTAAACCAATTCCACAATGAATAACCCCCCAATATTTCAAAACTACAAAGCCTACTAAAACCATTCATTTGTAAGAGAAATTTCATCAGCAGCATACCAAAAAAATAGGTAAATTAGAATCTGAGACCAAAAAAAAGTTGTAAGAATGTGTGATGGGGCTTCCCCGGTGGCGCAGTAGTTAAGAATCTACCTGCCAATGCAGGGGACACAGGTTCAAGCCCTGGTCCAGGAAAATCCCACATGACATGGAGCAACTAAGCTCGTGCACCGCAACTACTGAGCCTGCGCTCTAGAGCCCATGAGCCACAGCTACTGAAGCCTGTGTGCCTAGAGCCCTTGCTCCAAAACGAGAAGCCACCGCAATGAGAAGACCATGCACCACAACGAACAGTAGCCCCTGCTCACCGCAACTAGAGAAAGCCCACACACAGCAACGAACACCCAACACAGCCATAAATTAATTAATTAATTTTTTAAAAATGTGTGATGTTAGGCTACTGGAAACACTACAAAGGGAGGGAGACATAACAACACATAACCCAGGCAAGAATTAGTATTTGGTTTGGATTCAAGATAACCCTCTTCATTAAGCCTAGACATTAAAAGAAAAATCCACCAGTGTTTCTCTCAGTAATTCTAAAATTCTTATTGACAAACAAAACACCTATTAACATGGACACTGGCATTACTAAAAAAGGTTGTAATTGAAGGTAATCCGAGTTTCCCTCCGTATACAAACACATAATCACATGGTAAAAAAAGACCACATCCAAGAGTAGCCCTGGGACACTGCTATAGCAAATTCATTACAAGGGCATTCTCCACTACAACCAGGCATAAAATGGGGACACACACACACCACCCAACGATATCTTCTCCATAACACCTGTGTAAAGGAAAAAAATAAACTTCATACCAACTTATTACATCACATCTAGAAAGGATTATTAACCTCTCAGTTAATGGCTTTATGAAAGCCAGAAATGGGCAAGGAAAGAATACAACTGGAAACAAGTGTGAAGCTAAGGTGAAAACAAACTTAAGAACCACTCTTAGGCAAGTATTAAAGTTTCTTAAAATCTTCAAAGGAACAGTAAAGAACACAGACTGCAGATACAAAAACAATTACCTAATGAATTCCTTACAATGACAGTGTAAGTCTTATTTGAAATAACAGCCAAAATAACCTTTTTTTGAAATAAGCTATTATTCACTTTGCAGTTCACCAACATTTACGTAGTAAATGAACACTAAATTTACAAGTTAAACGGAAATTCAGGCAATGCCTTTCATAATATTTACTTGTTCAATTTATTACACTAAATTACAAACGAAATAAACAAATTAGTAATTCACAGGTTCACACAAATGTAGATTGGACAAGTTAATATCTCATAAAGGTCTACTTTTTCTTTTTTTAAATAAATTTATTTATTTTATTTTTGGCTGCGTTGGGTCTTCGTTTCTGCACGCGGGCTTTCTCTAGTTGCATTGAGCGGGGGCTACTCTTTGTTGCGGTGCGCAGGCCTCTCGTCGCAGTGGCCTCTCTGGTTGTGGCTCACGGGCTCTAGGCATGCGGGCTTCAGTAGTTGTGGCACGCGGGCTCAGCAGCTGTGGCTTGCGGGCTCCAGAGCGCAGGCTCAGTACTTGTGGCTCACGGGCTTAGTTGCTCCGCGGCATGTGGGATCTTCCCGGACCAGGGCTCGAACCCGTGTCCCCTGCATTGGCAGGCGGATTCTTAACCACTGTGCCACCAGGGAGGCCCAAGGTCTACTTTTTCTATACCTTGATCTATTACTAAAACTACACAACTCTTAATAATAAGTATAAAAGAGTCTTGCCATCAAACCAATTCTGAGAGTCCACTCTGTGGGACATTACAGGTGAGACTGCTTTGTGATTAGACCTATTCAGCTCTGTACTGAGGGTAACCAAACGCTCTTGGCCAGGATCCAGGATGAACACATATCATACTCTTAACAAATTCTAAATTGAAAATATGTAAAGCAAATCCGCAGTACAGCTATTGGCTTTTCAATGCCCTTTTATTCTTAAAATGCCAAACTAGGGCTTCCCTGGTGGTGCAGTGGTTGGGAATCCGCCTGCCAGTGCAGGGAACACGGGTTCGAGCCCTGGTCTGGGAAGATCCCACATACCGCGGAGCTCCTAAGCCTGTGCGCCACAACTACTGAGCCTGCACTCTGCAGCCCGTGAGCCACAACTACTGAGCCCACGCGCCACAACAACTGAAGCCCACACTCCTAGAGCCCACGCTCCACAACAAGAGAAGCCACCGCAATGAGAAGGCCTCGCACCACAACGAAGAGTGGCCCCTGCTTGCCTCAACTAGAGAAAGCCTGCGCGCAGCAACAAAGACCCAACGCAGCCAAAAATAATAAATAAATAAAAAATTTTTTTAAATGCCAAACTAAACTAGTATAAAGTTGCATTTTATGTGTATATTTCCCCTTGGTTTTAAACACAACAATACTATATGCAATGTGGTATCCTGAACTGGATCCTGAAACAGAAAATGGGCATTTGTGAAAAAATGGTGATATCAGAATAAAGTCTATAGCTTAGCTAATAACACTGTATCACTGTTAATCTCCTAGTTTTGACAAATGTACCATGGTTATATTAACATCAGAGGAAGCTGGGTGAAAGGTAAAAGGTACCTCTCAGTTCTATCTTTGCAACTTTTGTATAAATATGAAATAAACCCAAAATAAAATTTTTAAAAAGCACAGCTCCAAAAAATCTCTCCCTAAACCTCTCATAATTCCCAGCAATTTGAATAAAGTAACATTATCCAAGCACATTTTTAAGTGGGGAAAACTACTATGAAATCACCTAAATTCTTTCATTTTCTGAGATGTCCATGTCTAAAATTCATCTTTGAACTGGAAAAATAATTTTCCCATTCGCTAAGGCAAACATACTCAAGCAGTCTTACTAATTTTTACTCAGTGAAAAATGTTATGCACAGGTACCAAACATACAAAGAAAAAATGCTCAGACTGATTCTGGTTCATGTTCATCTGGCGGGAAATGTGATGTCAGTAGAGATTTGGCAGTTCAGAGGAGCTGAAGAGGCATGGAAACAACTTCCCTACAAGTATATGGCCACAGCAGGGTAAGGTTGGAGACAGTATTCTATTCTTTGGTTGAGACTCACGTACATATACATATTTTTTACCTGTAACTTCCTCCTTCACTTCTCTCCTCCCCCAATCACTGAACTGATATCTAAAGACTTGGTAAGTTGCAGTTACAAAAAGTTTTTTGTTCTATTTGAAAGACTTAAAAAGATAAGTAGAAGCAATCTGCTTTGCAATTTTACTCATGGTTTTTAAGATAAGCAATGGTTTTTAAGATAAACTTTTTGTGTGTGTGGCACTGTGGGCCTAACGGGATATAGTTCATAAAAGAGGTTTAACAGTCCATAAATTTGTTTACAAAGTAACAATGCCTCTCACATACATGATTTTAAGCCTTTACATTTTAATCTGCTTACAAAAGGACAAAACCTAAAGTCATACTTTTAAGTCATTAAATCTACTCACATCCCTCTACAGTATAATTTCAAACACTAAAATTAAAAATACAATATTTAATATAGCTTAACATTCGCTTCACTTTTAATGCCTTGGAATACTAAGAATTTCCTGCAGACTACACCAAATATCAAACTTTTTTGTCCACAGTGACAATTCAAAATATCACGACACAAACCGATTCCCATAATCCACATTAATAAAAAAAAAAACACGCAAAAATGATGGGAGAAGTTTCAATTATTTTAATAAGTGAACGCATCTACATGTTAAACTAACGCAACAACCAAGATTCAAACGAATATAAAATTCACAAAAATCTTAGAAACAGTTTATAGCTAATTGGTATGAAGCCCTCCTGTAACACTGGCCAGCTCCTCCCCCTGCCCCCGACAAACTAAAAACCCTATAAAGAGAATCCCACCACATCTTATCAGACTGGCAATCACAATAAAATGAAAATATAGCTTTGCCAACCAAATTCAACTAAGTATGGTATGCATTAGCATTCATGTAAATATTGATATAATTCCATACACGTACTTTTGTTTCTAACACTGGTATACCTATTCAATTTCAAGAGCCAAAGTACTACGTAACTTCGCCGATTTCAACGGTCACTTAAACTCCATTTATGAAAAATTACTGTAAATTTAAATAGGCTGCAAAAACTAAAATTCGACAATTTAGAATGGCCATCAAAAAAGCACTCAAAAAGTATTCAAGTGGTCATTCTTGTATACAAGAGTAATTCAAAGAGTAAACCTCCGTTCCTTTTTTAAAAAAACGATTTAACACTTAAATCAGTAAGATCTAGTAACTTCCAGCAGGAAAAGCCCCGAGTTCAAAAAATACTAGAAACTGAAGACACTGCCTCCGTAGCTGATACTATCTATGGCCGATAGGCTGTGCCTGAAATTTCCGTAGCGCTCGGCGAAGGAGTTTTCAGCACTGATATGAATTGCTCTAACATCCATTTTGGAGTCCTCTACCCCCACCCTCTCAGACTTCATTTTGTAGTGAATTTGGATGGAGGTGCCGCAGTGACAATGTAGAGAAAGCCTGGTCTGGCTTCTAATCCGAACAAGCATGCAAAAGAGGAGGAAAGGGCACCCCGGCCGCGCGACCGTCCCTCTCCGGGAAGGCGCGGGCGCCGGGGAGGCCTTTCGGGCGGGATGGCGGGCGCGCCGCGGGCCCGGGATGGCGGGCGCAGGGCCTCGGCGGGGGCGGGCCGCGCGCGAGACTTACCGCTCCGGCGGCGGCGGGGGCCCCGGCTGCGGCAGCCGCCTCCTCCTCGTCGTCGCCCGGCGATGGTGGCCCTATCTTGCTGCAGGTAGCGGCCAGCAGAGCGAGCGGTGACGGCTGAGTGTCCTACCCCCGATGGGCGGGTTCAGAGAGGGAGACAGGGGGAGGGGGTGGCGGTTAGGGCCGGGCCGCGCTCGCACAGGAAGTGCGACTCGGGCCTCACAGGCTGCACCCGGGCGAGCGCCAGCCCGCGCTCTCCTCCTCCTCCTCCTCGCCTCCGGCTCGCGCCCTCCGGCTCGCACGCACACGGGCTCCGCCGTCCACGGGAAGGCGGGCGGCGGGCCGCGCGCCGGGCCTCCACCTTCCGCCCGGAACCCAGCCCCGGGAGGGCGCAAGCTCTCTCTCGCTCGCTCGCTCGCTCTCGCTCTCTCGCTCTCTCTCTCGCTCTCTCTCTCGCTCTCTCTCTCCTACTCTATCTTCTGCGCTTCTGTCCCTGTTTGGTGCCTAACTACTGATTCTATTTTCTCTTTTGGAATCTTTTCTGTCCTCATACGATTTTGTTACTTGGTCTTCTCAGTGTGATTCTAAGATTTTCCAAATCACGAGTTTTCTTTCCATTTCTTGCTTTTTTTTTTTTCTCAGAAACGCTCCAAGAGGATAATCTGTCCCAAGGCTGATTCTGGGATCAAAGTCCCGAGACTTGGGCTGAGAGCTCAGACAGACTTACCAATACCCCATGAGGGGCTAGAATTGATGGTATCAAGTGCAATGCTAAAGTAGCCCTGGATGGTAAATTGCATTCCCTATTTCAGGGTTGTTGGAGGGGGTAGTTTTCTTTCCTCTTAATGAAAATAAGTTCTTTGTGGCTGTCAGAACATCCCATCTTCCTCTCCCCATCCCATCCTGGAAATCTACACCAGCAAACTCCAGCACAGGCAGGATGTGTGTATGTGCGTTCACATCGACTTCTGCATCCAGGTTCCCAGTGTGCTGTGTGAAGCAATCACTACCTTCACTCTACGGAGCAGGCTGAGTCCAGACGGGCTCAGTGAGCAATTGGTGGTCGCCAGCTGTGGACTATTTTGTGCCTGGTGCTATTCCTGCTTCTGGCCTTTGGCATGTCATAAAATGGGAATATGCCCAATGAAGTTCTGGACACACTAAGAGGATTTTCAACATTTTAAGTTGAAATAGACTTAATTAATAAGGGTGTCTTCAAAAATAATATTAGTTACTTTCTGTTTAACTTACAAAAATATATATTTTCACACCTGCTGAGTGCCAGGCTTCGGGCTAAATGTTGCCGTTACAGATTTTACAGTCTTGTGAGGGGATGAAGAAAAGAGTGATACGTGCTTAGAACAATAACCTAGGATGGTATAGTAGGGATTGCCTAAGAAGAGGGGCACTTTTCTAGAAGAGAATGGAGTAGACCTCTCTTAAAACAGGACAGTGAAGGCAAAACCTGAAGGCAATGATCCAGCTCAAATGATGCTAACCCAGGATCATCTTCTATCCAATGGGATGGTGCGGGAAGCGGCGGCGGACACGGCCGGAGCGGTCCGGGGATTTTTTTTCCTATTTTGATTGACTGTGCGGGAAACACAAAAGGTGGAGCCTCCAGCCCAAAAGGGGGGAAGAGGGTGACAGCCCGCCCGGAAGTTCCGCCCCTCTTCTCCGCGCTCATTCGCCACCACGCTCTTCGTAGGCAGTGCTCATTGGCCCGGATGCCCGTCCGTCCCTCGGCCAGGCAGCGCGCTTCCTGTTTGCCCCCCCGGGTGGAAGGGGAGAGACAATGAGCGGTCGTGGCGGCGAAGGTTCCCGAGAGCGGCTACGGCTCGCCTGTTACCCCGCTGTGGCCGCCTAGTTCGCCGGCTGCCGCTGCTAGGCCGAGGCAAAGGCCTCTTCCACCTTGCAGGCGCTCGGAGCAGGCCCCAGCAAGCTGTAGGGGGGCTGAGCTGGGGAGGAAATCCGTCCCCGGAGGATCCGGCTCCACTCGACGCTTCCTCCATCCCGGCGGCAGCCGGATCTCCCCAGGGCGCTCTCGGAGCCTCTGCTTCCCTGCGCTGTCAGGAGGCCGCCGCCGCTCAGCCCCGGGGCTGCTGCTGCGACCGCTGCTGCTACTGAGCAAACCGGGCCCGCCCCGCGAGCCCGGGAGGAGGGAGCTGGTATTGGGGGAGACACCCCCTCTGAGGCTGGAGGAGGATTTTCTCTCACACACGTTCAGCTCTTAGATTCAGTCTGAGGCATCTCGTTCCCATCCCCCTTAGCCCTTGGTTTCCCAACCAGTCTCCCACTTTTACGTACCCTGGAAGCAGGCATTTTAAGCAGAAAAGAAATCTCAATTCACCTCACAGATAGGAGAGCTTTCATTCTGGCCAGCGTCACCAAAGCAGACAAATATATTTCATTTAATACGTAGTGCGTATATTCAAAGGGACACAATCCTTTAAAAAAATGGTTTTTTCGGCCACATAATCATTTTGTTGCACAAACATAAATTATTCCCTGCTTCTTAATCGTCTTGGTAACAAGTGAAATATCTGAAAAAGCCCATCAATAATTGCCAGCATTTTTAAAATAGTGAATCTCAGCGAAGTTTTTTTTTCTTGGAACATTTTAGTTACACTTTAATTAAAAATCCCGTTTCGCTTACTGGATTAGGTTAACACTCCTTTGCTCTTTGGCATCCTTGACATCTTGATGTCATCCTGGGTGGGAGAAATACTCAAGTTTTGTGTGTGTGTGTGTGTGTGTGTGTGTGTGTGTGTGTGTTGCCAACTAAGAGACATCACTGCCTATAACCTTTAGATCTAATTGCCAAGAGGGAGGTTAAGCTCAAGAGGTAGAAATGCTGTCCACCATACGCTTTTTGTTAGAAATCTGACTCCAAGAATTAGTGTTCCAACTGTGATTATTATATTTGTTTCGTAAATAAAGTTGTGCTGGGGGCTGGAGTTGTAAAGCCCAAGCACTTGAACTAGATTTTGTGTGCGCTAACTGAAAAGAATTTAAGAATTCTTTTATGAGAGACAGAGCTTGCATCTCAGTTTTTATATTTTCATCTTCTCATAGGATCAGAAACATTGCATGGTTAATGGGCACTTAATTGTACAAAAGATGGAATTTCCAGGGAAATGACCTAAAAACCACAAACATGCAAAAACAAGACTTGAAATTCTAAATCTAAGAGTGAAGTTGATGTCTTCTAACAGTGAGAACTTTTGTCTCATAAGTAGAAGAATCACTTTTTAAAGTAAGTTGTATAAACCCTCCCTGTACCATTTTACACTTAAATTCTAAAGGAAAATTAAAGTGTTATAGAATAAGCTGATTTTTGAAGAAGGAAAAGGGATGGGAGGCTTCAGGGGAGGACAAGTGAAAACAAGTGGAGTGGGAGAGAGGGAGGGAAGTCACAGTATTGTCACTCTACTTACATGGATGTAGTGGATAGAGAATAGCTCTTTCCCCAGAAGAGGAAATTCAG